TGCATTACAGTTAACTGGAAATGATTTGCAGTTAACTTGAAATGCATTCAAGTTAACTGCAAATGTTTTCGAATTAAGCCGAAATAGACATAATTGAAATAGATTTGCAGTTAACTTTAAATAAATTACACTTAACTCAAAAACAAAATTTTAATTGCAGTTAACTGCAATTGAATTCGAGTTAACTGTAATTGAATTAGAGTTAACTGTAATGCATTACACTTAACTGTAATGTATTGCAGTTAAGTCGAATGTATTACTGTTAACTGTAATTGAATTACAGTTAACTGTAATGCATTCGACTTAACTGCAATTCAGAGGTAAATGATAAAACGGCTTGCCATATGCCCGCAACGGATCGTTTTTATTGACGTTCCGTTTAGATTGCAACAGAAAACCAGCAGACGGCGTCGGAGTTGGATTCGTCGTAAGACCGTCGAACAACACAGTGATTTACCGGTTTTAGTTTACTTTAAATACAAGAACTGTTTCTCATGACGACGTATTATGGCCTGGCCGAGGACACAACTTGTCAACAGGAATATGACTGTGTCATTTTTATGTTTTTACCAGTTATTTTATTAGTTCACAGGGATTTATAACTTTTTAATACGAGAATATTTAATTATATTAAAAGCCAATTTTTAAATTGTGTTTAACTTACCTGTTGACTCACTGTGGTAAATGTAGTAATAAGCAGTAAAATGACAGGCAGCACTTTATAGACTAACAAATATTTATTAGCACAAGCTTTCGTTCACACAGTGAACTACTTCAGGTGACTGTACAAATGAAACATCATCAATCGCTTATATACAAGTGAGACAATGGAGTGAGACTCCAAGCACGATAATAATAAACTAACATGCAGTAAGTAAAAAAGGTAAGCAGGCCAATAACAGTGCGATACAGAGGTGGTGGATAAATAATCAACACAATAGAGACCAATAAGCTATATGAAGTATATCATACATAGACTATGTAGTGTTGTAGAAAGCCTCTGTCTATATTCAGTCCTAAGTTAATACAATCTAGTTTAGTGATGAACTTTTGTTCAGCTATTTCTCTGTCTAAACTATTATTAAAATTACCCTTTTCTAATAATTTTGACTTTCAGGTTATGTAAGTGGTGGCCCGGTAAATTGAAATGTTGTGCTACTGCTTTCTGTACGAGTTTGTGTTTAGTATCACATTTGTGTCCATTGAGTCAATGGTGTATCGCAGAATAAATGTGGATGGAGTGTTGGCAGGTTTTGGCGTTGCAAAGGAAAAGTAGGCCTACCATGTGAAGTGTTGGTTTCACTAAGTTTGCTTTTACTGAGCCTTTTTTTCCCTTTTAGATTGGGAGGTTGTCTGTGTGCAGTGAGTTAAATTAAATAATGGGATGATATGAAACAATGGTTTTTATTTAATGATTATAATAGAAAATAATTTAAATAATAATATTTATAATAAATAAATAAATAAAGAAAATATATATTTGAGTTGGTGATGTTGAAATCATGATGCAGTGCCAGGTGTAATTGAAGTTGTTAAAAGATTGGGGATTATCTGAGATAATATACTGTAATTAAAGGTGTTAAAAGTTTTAGAAATACTTTTAATCAAACAATAGGAATATTATTGAATAAAACAATAGTGCCATTTAATAGGATTAATTGTTTTTGAATAAGTTGATGACTTCGCGTAAGTAGTGAGGAATGACTTTCTATTGGATGAGAGATTTCAGTGATTTAATATACGGTGACTTCTTGGTTTGAATTGACCAGGTAAACATGAACAGGAAAGGCGTTGAAATGAATTTCTTTTGGTTGACAAGCTTGGCACTGGTTCCAAATCTCAGCGGAAAAAAAACAAAAAAAAAACAAAAAAAAAAACAAAAAAAAAAACAACAACAACAAAACAAGACCACTTCGGTCCCAATGGTCCCAACATACGTGTATAGGAACTTAAAAAATTATTTCTATTGGATGAAAGATTTCAGTGGCTTAAAATGCAGTGACTTGTTGGTCTGAATTAACCGGGTAAACATGATCAGGATGATGACGTTGCTTCGTGACAAGAAATGAATTCTATTGGTTGAGAGATTTCAGTGACACGCTTGGCAATGGTTCCCGATCTCAGCAAAAAAAAAAAAAAAATAACACGACCACTTCGGTCCTAGAAGTGGTCCCAGCACGTGTGTATGGATCAACAAGGTAAAAAATCAACTAAGCTCTATGATATGGGGATCTGATAATTTACTGCGGGTTCCAGAGAGCGAAGAGGAAGAAAATTACTGTTTGTACCACTTTTTAAATGGCGGCATCCTTCATCAAAACAAAAAACCAACAAAGTTGACAAAAATATCCGAAAAAATGAGTTGTTAAAAATCACTCTATATCACCTACCGTATATTTAGGGACCCATCCCCCTCACTTGATATATTTCAAGACTATTAGATGCGCCACTGGTGTTCCTTTCTATGTGTCTGTGCTCCAGTGGTTCCAATTTGGGACCACTGAAGCACAGTACCAAAAATAATATAGACAGGTATCACTATATCCCGTAAAACATTATATGACGATACACATTTCTTTATTGTTTTAATTATTGTGATGATTTTACCTTTAATAATATATAAAAGAATGGTATATTTTGTTGTTAAATAAAGTCAATAACTCCTAACTTCAAACACGATTATTTGCCCTGCTTACACGAACTCATTGTGTGCTGTACTGCATTCTTTTCATATTTTTTAAATTGTACACAACCGGGCCGTTGTCATGGATTGTAATCTTTCACTTTATTGGCCTAGCGCGCTCGATAATGAGATAATACAAAAATTACCTCATTAAAAATTTTTTATAAAAATAGAAAAATCATAATTTATGGGTGTAATTTTGCCCTACCTGATGTGGAAATGTACCGAATACTCAGTATCCAGTTATTGTCTATTATTCCATCACGACAATAACAATTACTATAAAATCATAATTTGTTATTGTTTTTTTGTTGATTCCTAATATATATAATTATGACATATGTGAATTTCATGCATGTGGCTTTCGTATAATGGATTAGAAAAAAAAGTACAAGTACCCTGATTTCCTGCGTGTATTTGTGCTATACTTGGCGTAACGTTTGCCTATCAGTAGAGTGCGCCGCCGCCAGCGTTTCAGCCAGACCAATCAAAGATCTTAAAAATTAACAAGATAGTGTTCTCCGCGAAAACTTTAATTTTTTGGTATAAAGGAAGAACTATTAAATGACCCTTCACTGGATACTTATTTTATTGCCGATTTCAGGCTAAACATGTTATTTTCTGTTCTTATGATACACACTTTTTAAATATATATAATTATTATTGTACAGCAGTATATTACTAGACTGTAAGCCATGATAGAGTATACTACATTGTCGCAAGTACTGAATAATGTAACAGATGAGAGTAGTTAAAACAAAAATAGATACTAACTAAACTAAAGAGTTTCATGCAAAAATTTCGTACGAAAAAAAAAATCACGGGCCGGCTGGGCCCCCCTCGAATCTGCCACTGATTTTGCTTTCCGGATTTTCTGTAAGTCGCTTTCGTTATCATAATCTGAAGTCGACTCTCTACTGCATGTAATAATACACCCTCTATAAATTTGCATATTGTTCCTTTTCTTGAGTTGATTTAATTAATGTTAGTGAGTTATTGAATGTTAATTGAAAATAATGTATTTATGGTGTTTGTCGAAACATACATTTGAATTCAGGACAGATTCAGTAATAAAAGATTTACTAAAACCATACTGTTTTGCAAGTCATCCTTTATTTTGAGTCTAAAATTGTTGAAAATTTGTACAGGAGGAATTCTTGACTATCACTCTTGTGTATCAGACACTGCTTTCTAATCGAATCATTATTTTTTTTTCATTCCGTTTTTATACCTCACTGCACCAATGCACGTCCGTCATCTCTGGCATCGTTAAATATTTCATGCTTAATAGGCCCCGATTATAAGCATTTATATCGTCTTGAAAAACGCCACTTTAAGGTAGCCTCTTTGCATGTATATCCCGTGCAACAAGGCCGCCCGTTCCATCCACATGGGTTGTAGACAGGGATACAATACGATTTCTATGGGGGAAAAAATAAAACTTTTGACTTTAATAATTGATATAATTATAGGCCTAATGCTATTAATTCATGTTTTATTATTAAAACATTAATTAATAAATGTTTTATTATTAATAAAATAAAATAAAACAAAACAAATTTTGTATAACACAGGTATCGGTGTCTTAATAATAACATGTTCTGGTTTTTTTTTTTTTTTTTTTTTAAACTGAAATAAAAATTAATTTTCTTCTTAAAAAAACAAT